CGGCGGCTGCGGGGGGCTGGACTCTGAGCCCCGACACGGCGGAGGCGCGAGGCTGAGCCTGGGAGAGGCTTGCAGAGGGTGCGGGACCCAAGGGGGGAGGGACTCCGAGGCAGTGGGCGGGGGGACCGGCACCAGCGGCCCCGGAGCGGCCCGCCAGCGGCGTCAGACGTTTCTGGCCCGAGGTTCCCGTGGGAGGTGTCGACGGGTTGTGAAGAGGGATCTCCCACTAATGAATTCGGTGTCAGGGAACCCGCATCCCCCCTCGACACCTTCCCCGGCAGCCTCCGCGCCTCTCCGCACACAATGCAGGGCCACAGCTCCCACCCCGGCCTCAGTCTGAACCTCATGTGGGGGGCCCACACCCAACTCGGGAAGGGCTCAGCTCCCCATCCCCAGCGTCAACTGGGGCTTAACCCTCCATACCCAGCGTGTTACCCCCACGGTGAGAGCCAGCAGGCCGCAATCCTCGCGGGCACCTGCCGGCAGCACGGGGGCGCAGCCCGCCCCTACACAAGCACACAAGGAGGTCTCACCTCGGGCCCTGCTGCTCAGGCCCTGCCTGCTCAGGCCTCGGGCAGGAGACAACCTGTAGGGTTCCTGGTCCACAGGGACAGGACAGACTGACCGTAACCCGACGGGGCAGGACTGTTGGGAGACTCTGATGAGGGACCTGGTGAGATGCATGGCTGCGACCACCCAGCAGGTCCGGGAGGGTGACTGCCTGGGAGGGAATGTAGCTGGCATGGAGGCCTCTGGGATCCTGCCCCCAAGGGATCATTCCCTCTGGGGGGCGCCCCAGCGTGGTTAGGGCAGCCCAGATCTGGCACGTGCTGATTCTCAGAGGACCTGAAATACAAGGGCCCTTCCCAAGCCTTCACAGTGACTAGTCCCGGTGCCTGGCAGTGTGGGCACTGTGCTGGCCGCTTTATAAACCAGGCTGGCAAATCGTCCCCTTTCCAGATGAAGAAACGCAGACTCAGAGAAGCTGAGCATCTCACCCGAGGCCCCAGAGTCTTGGGTTGTGAGTGGGCTTGGAACCCACGCGGGTCTCTGGACCTGCCCAGTTCTTCCTCTTCCCAGTCATGTGACCGTGGGCTGACCGGTTTGCCTTCCCGCCCCTGTCCCTCTGTCAGATGGGGTGAGAGGACAGCTGTCGCGTCGCTGGAGGATGTGCTGAGGGGCTGCGGTGCCGTGCACACGGTGGCCCATGTGGCTGCCACGGAGCCCAGGCCAGTGCTGGACTCACTCCTGGGCTGCCTGTGGGGGATCTCTGGTGCCTAGCAGTGACTAGCACATGGGCAGCACCAGGGAAGAGACCCACAGTGGCCCAGCCACGGTGGTGGCTCTGTGGGAACACGTGGGAAGCCAGGCTGGAGAACTAGAGGTGGGCGCGGTGGCATGCACTGTAGCCCAGGGCCTGAGGCATGCGCAGGCAGGAGGGCCGGCCTGGCCCACACAGAGAGACCAAAGGGGCGGCACATGGGTGGTCTCAGCTGGGCACGGAGGCGGGGAAGCCCCCCGACAGCAAGATTCTATGTAAGAAAATGAAGTCGAAGGAGAACAGCAGCAGCAGCCAGCTGTCACCACCCCCGGCATCTTGGTGCTTGGGGCTCGCCCAGGTAAACCTGCCTGGCCCCTGTGCACCGTTTGCTGGACCCAGCGGCCAAACACCCAAGCAGTAAGCTTTGCCAGTTGCTGTCCAGTGGGTAGGTTCCGCCCTCCTGCCTGGACAGACAGACCTTGAAGACCCAAAGGCCAAGTCCGAATGTAGAATTCTTGGATCTTCTGGGTAACTCCCTGCCTGCAGCTACCGGACTCCGCCAAGCTCTAGCACCACCGGCAGCCCTCAGGCCTGGGGTGGGCACCCCTCTGTGTGGGGAGAGGGCTGTACTGGTTCTGGGGATGGACTTGGGCTGTCTGGGCAAGGAATTCCAAGGTCCTGGGTTAGTGCTGAGTGTGGGCTCGAAGGGGCTCCTGTGGAGACTCCGCACCCTGTGGGGTAGCACATGGCAGGGGTGAGGTGCAAGGTGAGCAGCCAGGAAGCCCAGGGTCCTGAACTGCCAACTGGACACCTTGGCCAAACTCTTGGCGCTCAATTGCCTCATCTGTCAAATGGGCTGGTGGCTTTGCCTGGAGCCCAGTGCCCACGGGAAGGTCCACGAGGAGCCCAGAGCCAGGACGGCACTGGCCGGGGGTGAGGACGCAGAGGCGTGGGACATGGCCTCCCTCCAGGAAGCCAGGCTTCTGAGGACGGCCCTAGGAGAAGAGGCGCTGAGCTAGCAGAACTGCGGAGGCTTGGCCTGGAGCAGAGCTGGCAGCGGCTCCACTGCAGCTCGCCCTGGCCTCCTTCCCAGAGGCCCGGCCGCCGCCGGCCAGCCCACAGCCCCTGCCTCTGCCCGCCGCTGTGCGCCTGCTCAGGGGCTCCCTGGTGCCAGCCCCCCATGTGTAAAATGGGATAGTGAAAGTGCCCTCCCGGTGGGCTGCTGGAGCACGCAGTGACATCAGCAGCCGTGGTTTCTATCCTCGGAAGTGTCACCCCTGTCTAGCACTGTGCCTGCCACATCGTAGTAGCCATGTGCTCTTGTCTCCCTCCTGCCCAGTCTGCCAGCCACCGCAGCTTGGGGCATCTGCAGTCCTCCGAGAGTGCACCCAGAGGTCCCACAGGGAGGCAAACAGCCAGGGCCCGGGACAGGAAGGGCGCCACACCCCTGGGTGCCAAGCCGTCACTCAGCCCCTTCCCCTGCTGTCTTCACAGGCTCAGGCCGCCCCGGCCCTGCATGTGCTGGGGCTCCTGGCTCTCCCTGTCCACACCTTCCAAGCCCACATGGCTGCCCCCACTCCTGTCTGCTCTAAGAGGGCATGGCATCGGGGCTGCGGGCA